GGGGGGGTTCTTTATTTATTAACAAAATTTTGTCGACTTTGACCTATCTTTAAAAAAAATCTTCATCACTGCTTTAAAGCTAAGGTACAGAAAGAGTAGTTCATAGACAACTTTTAAGCTTAGTGTCTTCAGATTAGAAAAGGTTTCTGCTAGCATTTTCCACATTTTCCATATACAAGGGCCTGTGATGCATAGACTGCATATCTTACAATCGCAGCTTCATCAACAACAACTTATAACTATGCAAAAGAAAAAAAAAAAGAAAAAGCCTAGTGCATAGCCTACATACCTGGACAGGTGTGCCATCACAGTGCCCAAGGCCTTGACCTCTGCTCCAGGAGTCTGCAGAGACAACAGTGGCCTCCTTTGCGCTGCCCTCACTAGGTGCTAAATTTTCGCCCCCAGCTGGATCTACTTGAGTATTCAAAGTAAGAACACCACAGGCAGTCTCTGAAGGAACAGACGAGTTGCTGCTTCCTGCGAGGTTTTCATTCATATTCGACAAGCTGCAGCTTGTGGCATTTGTGGCATCTGTCTTACTGCTGTCATTAACACCTGTGCCCTCCACTTCTTCACTGAGTAAATCTTTGAAAAACGCTTCACTGTCAAAATCATCTAAAAGAATTTCATTCTCACTTGTCATGTTGACACTCGCAGCTGCTTCAACTGAGTCACTCTGCTGCCCTGCCCTATTACTGGCCTCAACAGATGTATTTGTCTTTTCTGCACAGGTCAAAGACTCTTGCCTGTTGTGGTTGAGGTCAGAATCCAAGGACTCTCTTTTGTGAGACATACCGTTACTCAAATCATCTTCTTTATTGTCATCCACTATACAAGGACTGGAATTTTCCCCTCTTGCCACAGAGTAATTTCTGTGCTGAATGTCTGTCTGGTCTTGACTACTTTTTCTTGAATCAGCTTTCAATAGCCCGCATGGTTGTCTCTGATTGGATAAAATATGAAAAAACGAGAGTTTTAAAAAGTAAGGAAAAAAACAACAACCCAGATAAATGTAAATATCAAGAGAAAAAAAAAGCGAAATGCTACTCTGATAGTCCTTTTCTGAAATGTATCTTTTTGAAAATTTTTGTTGTAAAATCAACATTCTGCAAATTTCAAATTTAATTTCAATATTATAAATTACACAAATATTTAGAACAAAAAGACTTGTCCAAAGAGTAAAGCTATAATTGGCAAGGATGTACGGAAAATTGAATGTTTTATACATATCATTTCTTTAAATGGAACATAAAATCGCAATGAAAATGTACAAGTGTTGAGAAAATCCAACCTTCACATTGTGACTTCTACTGCCATCCTCTTCATCTGCTCTTGTCTGTTTTCCAGCTGGTGGGGCAGACTCGGCATAGTGCCAAGACGGAACATTTTCTAGCGGCCCATATACCTCCAGCAAAATCTCTTCTAAAAGATTTCGAACCTCATGCTGTGATTGCAAAAACAAAAGAGCCGTCTTTAAACATATGAGTTCAGTCTAAATTCCTTCTTTATCTAACGACTCAAACAACAGCATTTCTTATGTAAAACATGTATGCTAAGTAACTTCGAAAGACAGCCTAGAAACTTTATGACAATAGCCTATAGCATTTGATCTCGGGTCTTATTTATCATTCTTCTATGAGATGATACAATCCAACAAAAGTTATTCAATCACAGTCTTTTCAAACCAGTCCAGTACTTTGAGCTTATTGTCTCCCAGTGATGTAATTAGCTTAGAAAGAATGGGACTTCTGGTCAAATGAACAGAAATAATGATAAAAATCTATGACAATCATTATAAATCAATGTACCATGTTTTGAAGAAAAACTGTGGTTTTGTTTGGATCAACATTGACATCCACTTCCTGAGTTGGTAGTGTGACGGATACATAACATATTGGGTGTCTGACAGATTCACAGGCATGGCAGTTATCATAGTACTGTCGCAAGACCTGTGCCAGAGAAAAGAAAGGGGTTAGAAATACTTTCAAAACTTCCAACAAAAAAGCATAAAAGTCAATCCCACATAATTAAATTTAACAAGTAAAAATGACAGAAAGCTTGACTGTAACTTTCAATTTAGCCTTAATACAGTTTCCTCTGACAGACATTAATTTTCATTACACCTCGTCAGTCTTCTAGATCTGTGTTATGGAGGTGGAATCTATATGGGCTTGAGTTGGCAAACAAACTTGTGTGAAAATCTGTGTGAGATGACTTTAACCGTATTTATTCAAAAAACAAATCTGAAAGGCAGAAACCTTCACAAACTCTTTCACATGCACAGGTCTGTTATTAACTACAAGGAAAGTTCTGTCTGAGCTTGATCTTGACATGGCTTTAACATCAGTTCCAGCCTTAGGAATGAACACTGTCAAGGACACCTGTGGAGAATTAACAAATAAAAAAGTGATAAACAAGTTTAGCAAAAATCAAATTGGTAATATTATGAACAAAAACTTTATGGATTATCATATTATCATAACCTTTGAAGCATTGAAATACTAAACTACTAATCACATAGCCAGGAGAGGAGAGAGCACTGAGGCAAGCTTGTCAAAGAATAGAAGTATAGTAAGACAAGGAACCAAGAAAATGTCTAACAGGGACAGTAATTCCAAGTCAAATAAGTAAAACTAGAGCACACAGAAACGCATTAAAAAAATACCCATTTATAGACTATCATACCTTTGGTGTTTCCAGTTCTCTGGTGATGTTCAGCATACTATTAACAATTTGTCTGCCCAGGACATGCTGAAGCACAGCCTTACTATCATTCATGGTTGCCTTCTGCCATATGAGATCTTTCCCGTGCTTCAGTGTAATACGCAACTGGGGTTTTATGATGCCATAGGCAATGAGAACTTCCTCCACCCTCTTAACATCATCTTTTCTGCGTTGTGAGCTATTGTAATACTGCCGTCTCACTGGCAAAGTGGCAAACAAGTTGCGAGCACAAACAGTGGTACCTGTGCATAAGATGTAAACATTTTAAAACACATAGTCCATTATCTAAACCAGCATTCTGAAATATAGAACATCTTTGAATATATATATAAGTTACTTAAATTGTCTGAGAAACTTAAAAGAGTAATTAATGAATCATTAGTTTTTATTGTATAAATCATAACTTTATTCGATAATCCTTTCCTTCTTCTAGAGTCATAACAGTAGTTTTGACCGTAATATCACTTCTTAAAAAAATGGACATGCATAAGTATAATCTAAAACTGAAAACAAAGATATAATAGGCTTATAATTTTTTCTTAAAAACTATTCTAAAAGTACACTTAAAATAAAATCAGGTCAAGTCCATATTTCAGCTAAAAGTCTGTATCTATTAAGAGCCTTAATATATCTATGACATTAACTCATTCGCTACGCCGAGCCGTGGGGGGCGGCGCGGCTAAAGTGCCGTCAGTACGCTAAGCCGCCCCCGTCGGCTCCAGAACTGACGTTCAATTTTAGCTTGATTTCTATTCCAATCCACATATCCATGTTAAAATAAAGGTCAGATTATAAAGTTGACTTCCGGGTCAAGCGTTTCCACCGAAAATCGGAAGTTTTGATTCAGTTTTGAAACACGATTTCGAAGTTTATGCGACATTCTTTTATCGCGAAGCCCAAATTATAGCCCAGACACCAGTCTTTGTACTTTTACACAACAAAATGTATCATTATTTTGCTCACTAAAGAAATGTAGGACTCTTCTTTATAATATTGATACTACTGGACTCAAATTGCCAGTGCTCTGTAATTGAGAAATCAATATTTTTGAGTGCTAGATCTAGGCCTAGATCTAAATAGTCAAAATATTTTTTTTCTCCCCAAAATCACTACTTTTTGGTGAATTTACTCAAAAAGTACCATCCAAGACATGTATAGGTTTATTCCAAATGCAATTCTGAATAATTCCATATAAGATACGAGTGTTTTTTTCTGTTTGGGATCCTTTTTTCAAAATTATTTAAAAAAAATTTTTTTTCAATATCGGAGGTTATGATCCAAATGTACAAATATTATGGAATGTATGTAAATAACTGCTCATTTTTCAATATTTTCCTGTTCTATATACAGTTATGGTTATTTTGATGTATAATTTGACTAGGTGCAAACATATTTTTTGAGTTTCATCTGCGATTATTAACTTTTTGTTTTCAAATTTTATCCGCAGCCAATCACAATTGTGTTGCATAATCGCCTCTTACAGGAACCAAAGTTGAAAAATACTAAAATAAACAATACAGATGTATTCTACAAACCATACTGGAAATGTTGGTAAATAATATGTTGATATTTATTTGAATTATGGCCCCCAAGACCTGTGAACTGCGCACTATAAGTCATCATTTCATTTCGCCCTCCCGAAAAAATTTCGTCCACAAGCCGAAAATAATACGTAGCGAATGAGTTAAGAGTCACACAAACAACCTTGATCAAAACACCTGAACCTTCAAACACCAGCTCACAGCTGTGTCGATGAGAACAAATATTCGTTTTATACTACATTTTCAAGATGGCCTCACAATAACATGTAACACAATTTGGGTACTGACCTTGTCCTAAGTGGGAGGGCTTTCTGTCTGAGACATTTCCTTCTTTGTCGATTGTGTATGTGTAGCTTAAGTCATCTGTCTTGGTTTTGGTCGTGATGGTGACATCAGCAACAGAGCACAATGAGGCTGCAATTATGCAATCATAGTAAAATACCAAACAGATTGAAAATTTAATTACATCATTTAACATTTTTTTCATTTCATAAAAGGCACTTCAGGAAACTGTAGATCTATTGCTGTTCTGTCTCCAGAACACGCAAATATTAGGGTGTGGAAAGTCATGGGGCACGACTTCACACCGAGGTAAAACATGCAATATAATACAATGTATGTAAATATTACATTATGCCAGTAGAAGGACTGAGTTTAGCCACAAGGCTGATGTCCAGAATAGATAAGTGGGAAGCAGGAGATTGGTTTAAGAAGTCTATGCTTAGCCTTTGTAGAATTTTGGGATCAATTTCTCCGTGTGGAGGATAAATAAAGTATATCTGGCAAAATCTAAATGTTTACTTTTTTCAGAACATACAAAACAAGCAATTCCCTTTTAAGAAAAGGCAAACATTACTAAACTAATATCCTTCCTAGAATGGTTCCCATTTTCCCCTTTTCATATTTTTGACATAATGACACCATGTAAGACATTCACCTGTCTAAGATGGCCACTTTCCTCCTCGACAGTGTGTGGCCATCTTTGACAATTTTCAATGTACTTTTCTGCCCAGTCTTCCGCATGAAATGCTAATTTCATGGCTCTGGTGAAACCGTTACAGGCCTAGCAAGTCCGCAGCGGTTATTTATTGCTAAAAAAACAAATAGAAGAAAGAAACAGACAAAAGGCCAATAATGTTAGTTATAACCGGCTTACTCCACTATTGAAACATCCTGGCATTCCCATGACAACAAAACTCAAAATGATCAACACCATGCCTTAGAAAAGCAGTAAACAAGACCAGGCGAGACAAAATTAGAAACACAGTAATCAGAGAAATGGTGGGCAAAAATGATGTCATGTATCACATCCAACACCAAAAAATCAAATGCTTCGGACATCTTATGCGTTTATCAACACACCACCCAGCACAACATGCGAACATTAAAAAAATCGATGGCAACAAGGCTAGAGGGCGGCCGAGAAAGACTTGGATAGATAAAGTCAGGGAAACACTAATAACTCACAGAATCCCCCTGACCCAAGCTCTCCGGCTGGTGGCAGAGAGACGTCTCTTTCTTCCCATGACACCCAAAAGGGTATAAGCGGCGGAAAAAGTAAAGTAATTTCCCCCAAAAATGCACAAATTCTGAACCTCGGAAACTGAGAATATACGCTCTTGGGAAGGTGGGACGTACAAGAAAGGCTGAAAATATACGCGCATGGGGCTGGAACAAAATCCCAACAGAAACAAAATCCCAGCAATCCTTTATTAAGTAAGGCCAAAAATACAGGGAACCCTTCTAAGGCAAATCAGGTCAGATATATGTCTCTATTTGCTGTTAGGGACCGGGATACAACCAAATTAAGAACTACAGGAACATTTTTCTAAAAAAGATGTTAAAATAAAATTATTACCACCACTACTGCTTTAACACAAAGACTTACCTAATGCTTCTCCCCTGAAACCATATGAGTGCAGAGACAATAAATCATCAGTTGATGTTATCTTTGAGGTGTAATGTCTTTTAGCCATGAAAGGAACATCTTCCACCTTGACACCACAGCCATTATCAATGATTTCAATTCTGTCGAGTCCATAGTTATCCTAAAATAGAACAAAAAGTATAACAATGTTAATGCAACGAAAGGCAAAAAGAGAAAGATATTCAATTTTTCTGCTGCTCCTACCAACAAAATACTAAAGTTTTCAGATACTGAGAACAAAAATGGCGCTCATATGACCTTATGCAGTTGTGAGCGCCGTAAAACCCTCTACCATAAAAAAAAATATGAGAACAAAATCATGTGACTATACTACAATCAAAGAGTGTTCCGGAAGGGGAATTCTTATTCTCAGCATGAACAGTCAAAGATAATTATGTTGCCTACTTTTATACTTTCAACTGTCTCATGCTCAGGTTTTGTACAATGCAGCGCATAGAGCTTGCTTTCGAGTGGGGACATACGCTATATAAATGCTATTTATTATTATTATTATTATCCGTCTTACATGAATATTGACTTTATATTCCTCTCAAATTAATAGTTTAAAAAAATATTTTATTTGATGGCTTTATTATAAATCAAACTATATCACATTAAGCCTAATTGCGTAATACTTTGCACTCTTTTGACCAAAGGGGGGGGGGGGGGGGGTTCTGGGGACAAGCTCCTGTTTCACCTCTTAATATGATGTTTTGCATTTCGGATTGAAATTTTATAGAAAATAATTGATTTGCGACAGTTTTAGTGGCCATGTGTCACATTCTGCGTGATCTGCAGCAAAAAAAATACTGTAGTCTGACCTACAAAGCAGTCATAGGTGTGTGAGAGTGAAAGTAAAAATTTACCTCATGTTATATTGTCCTTAACTTCCCTAATCCATCAAATCTGAATTAAATTGATAACTGGCAGGAAGATGTGTTTATGGGTACAAAATGACAGTACTGTTAGTAATATTATCACTTTTACTAATTTTTTTGGTTTGTTTTTGTAAAATGTTTTACGGCGCTCGCAACTGCATAGGTCATATGAGCGCGCGGGACACACCGAATATTTTCAGTTGGTAGGAAATTTTGAATTTTGCCCGGGTGGCGGCCGAAGCCTACTCTTATCGATTTTAGACCACCAAAGGTTCTTTAATGTGCGCAACTTGCACACGGGCCCTCCGAGATTTTTCGCCCTTGTCCGAGAAAGCTGTGTAGATCTTTCCTACCAGAAGATCAGGGGTGTGGCAGAAAGACAGCAGTAAGGAGGAGCCAAGGAGTAGCAGTAGAAAGGCTGCAGAAAGAGTCAGGAGCCCAGAGGAGGGGGCAAAGGGGGTGAGGGGTGGGGGCAGAAAGTGGAAATGAAAGCAAACAACAGAACATTGGTAGATAGCAAGAAAGGAGGTGAAAGGAGACAATTTTAGAGAAGAAAATTTTTTGGTCGCTACCCGGATTCGAACCCGGGACCTTTGAATGAGAGGCCAACACCTTAACCTCTAGGCCACGAGAGCCCCCTTTTACTAATTATCAGTGATACTGTGGAAGTAGGCCTATAGAAAAAAAATTCAAGTTATATGAGGTAAATTTAGTAGAGCTGAATCTTATCATTTATATTATATTCAAATTATCGGCCAAATCCACAAATTCAGAATTAAGCATTATTAAGTGGAAAAATCACAAAGAAATTATTCTTGCGTTTAGAAAACAAACTAGACTTAGGAAGTCTAGATCTAGTCCTGAATAGCGAGACATATAATGTGGCAGAAAGAGTTTTGTAAAAAACAAAACAACGGCAGCTAGGGGTCTACACTAGTTCTTCTTCAGGTGTCAGGTCTGGAACAGACGTTGATGATCATGTACACCCCACTCCTTCCTGTTGCCTCTCTTCTTGATCAGCTCAGTTTTTCTCATTGTAATATTTGTTGCGAAGTTATGCAGGCCATCTGTACGTATGTTGTTCTTTATTTTCCTCTGCTCTTCTTTCCCTCTATCTTACACACAGCAGCAGTTTCTCAGGTCCATATGATCCATGTATGTGGTTAAAGAATCTCAATAGTCTTTATCTGACGGTTCTGATTACAGATCTTTCACAACCTGCCATTTGGAACACTTCTCACCTATATTCTCACCCCTGGTGAAAATAGCTCATGATCCGCTATTCTCACCCCCACCTCGGTGTGAGCATGAAGCGAGCATTAACGTTCTTAAAATTAGGCTATATCTAGATCTAGATTTCTAATTGTGAGGACCTGCAGGTATTACAGTGGAGTCCACATTATAACGAGTCCTGAAATAACGAGAAATCTGTTATAAAGACACTTTTCTAAAACTCAGTATTTTTCCTTCTTTATTTTTGTAAATAAAATACAGCTATTGCGCAATCAGACAAACCATGCGAGTCAGTTATAGCGGAATATTGCTGCTGCTGTGCAAAGCGCATAGGCCAATTATACATAATGTAGAACCGCGCCAGGGATGGAGAGGTCACAGTGCTGTGATGGATGGAGGGAATGTGTGACATGCGCAAGCAAACAGAACGCACCACAGGGTGTGGTGTCGTGGGGGACAACACAGCAGGCGATTTTTTTTTTTTGGGGGGGGTTCAGTGTCCTGATTTTGGTGCCTATATTTGTTGGTTACGTAAGAATGTATTGACATGGTGCAAATTGTTATGTTTTCTAGAGAAATGAAACAAGGGAAAGGGGAATAGTTAAGTCGTACAGCGGGCGAGTAGCCGCGAGTTAGCCTAGAGCCCTTTCTTTCTGATCGCCAACGCCGAGCTGTCAACATCGGCAGCGCTAGAGAAAGAAGCCTGATTCGATTTTTGATCAAGTAAGACGTAGAAGTCATGTTGGGCAAAATCTGGGGCGATAATAAAAAGAAATAAGCAGAGAACACAAAACTCATAGATTAGGCCTACTTTATTATTTCCCTTGAATTTATTATAGGATCCTTTTCAACGAGAATATTATCCTGCTATAACAGATATTTCGCACAAGTCCCCTCCCTCTAATTATAACAGGATTCTGCTCTTGACATTTCGTCCTTGCATAAACCATAGATCTAGATCTAAGCTAGACTTCTACTGTGGTTTTTTTTTCACCGTTGTTTGCTGTTCATGGTGTGATATGGCCTTCGCCCAGCCCATTAAATAAAATATACCTGAAACTCATCTCTACAACTTATAATTTATTCTCTGTGCTGTTCTGTGGGTGTCTGTGCTAATATAGACTATAGGCCTACAGTACGTTAGCACACCTGAGGGAGGATGAAAATAACCACTTCCTTTCCTTCTGGCCATGAGATTCTTAAACCATGTACATTTCGGTGACCTCGAGTCTTCTCAGAGTGTCCTTGTTAAGAGTCCAGTTTTCGCATCCATACAAAAGGATTGACCACAACGTGGACACTTTCAGGGTTCGGCAAATTTTTACTTATGAACCCACACACAGATGCACTGATTTGAGGGCTAAACTGCCATAATTTTGTGGCAGAACACATGTATGGCCACTAAAACCCTTGCTATTCAATTGTTTTCAAGTAAATATCAATCCTAATATTGCCAAAACATCAAATCATAGTGAAATGTAGGGGGGCATGCCCCCTGAAACCCCCCCAGATTCTTTTTAGGTCAGGGGGGCATGGAAATCCCCCCTGTTATAAAAAACAAGTGAAGTATTAAGCCACTGGTCCTAGCTCTGTTTTCAAACATCAATAACTCAATAACTAGGCTACTGATTTGCGGCAAAAATGAAGGCCATTATATTCGTGTTCAGCAGGCAAAATACTACTAGAAAAACTGTAATAAAATATGTACATGAGACGGGAGCATGAAGTAAAAAAAACCCAACAGGGTTCTTATTTAAATTTAACAGTTTGCGGTTATGATTCTGTTTGAGACGACAGCCTAGATTAGATTACGTGAAGTAGAGGGCCGTGCCGTAGGTTTACACATAGCCTCAATGCTATGCATACGGGAGGGTCCGTGCGCAGGCGTACTGGAACTGTACCCAGCCACTTCGAATTATCAATATATACTTCTTCAGTCTTCATTTAAAATTATCTAATCGAGCTCTACCAGATTCAGATCTATCTAGATAGAATCTAGACTTCTAGACTCTCGGGTGCTCTTTGGAAATTGCCTTCCCGTTCCAATTGATACTTTGCCATGTAAGCGTGAAGATTGAGTGGGGGTTTTTTTCATTATTATTTTTGCCAGGGGGGGCAAGCCCCCCTCGTAACCCCCACTATCAAGCCCCCCTGAAACCCCCCCATCAATAATAATAATAGTGTCCATTAATACACACGGTGGGTCCATCAAAGTTCAATCCGGCCAAAATAAATTCGAAGACACTATTTCTCAGAACACTCCGGAAAATAATAATAATAAATAACAACAATAAATTGCATTTATATAGAGGGCATGTATCCATGTTCAAGAGCATACTCTATGCACTTTACAACTATTGTCACCCCATCAGACCCTTTGAGAACACTTAGAAACATTCTCGGCTTCAGCAGAAGCATACAGTGCAAGCTGCGGATTTCACACGCTCAAACACTATCAAACTAACAAGATCGTTCACTGTCTATAGCCGGGTACCCATTTCCACCAGGGTGAAGTGAGGAAAATTTGTGCAAAGTGCCTTTCCCAAGAACACAACGTCGGGCCCCTGACGGGATTTGAACCCACGACCTTACGGTGGCGAGTCCGAGAGCCTAACCACTTTCTCCGAACAGTTTCCATTGAACCGTTCTCAAGATTTTTTGGTTATTAAATTTGAGAGATTTCGGCGTCATCTTTCTTTCTGCCATTCTCCGAGGACTGGGAGGAAGCATTTTTTTCCCATCGAATTCAATTTCTAGAGCTACAGATTTTTAAACGTCTGAATATTCAGATACTTCAAATTGAAGTTCAATTGTGGTAGGGGAAACGTTCCCGGACTATACTTCATTTGAAAATGCCGTCAAAGGGTACTGCGAGAAAACAAGACTGCTCGTCCTTGGAAATAACCCATTTTGCATAATATTTAGTCACCCTTAAAACTAAAACTAAAATTCTTAATGTAAAAAAAAAAAAACCCTCCGCCTCCCCCCCCCTGTTCACACCTTACACACACACACACGAACACAAACGCACACTCACACAGACACAGACAAATACACACACACACACACGCCCGCGCGCGGACCACTTTATTCGCATATAACCAACAAATCTTGAGAACGTAAACCGTTCGGAGAAATAGAGTTCAAGTTTAATTTTCCCGAGCATTTTTGGCGGAAAAATAGAGCTGGCCAAATAAATTTTTATTAATACAAAAAACGAAGAAAAAGATTACTGGCTAATGTGGCAGGGTTCATTTAGCCCACATGGTCACTTTTGTCCTTAGCAATCACTTCTGTTTCTTTAAACAAACAGGAACGCAATTTCCAAACAGCGCCGACTCTTGATCTAAATCTAGACTCTATGATAATGATTCTGAAGTTGAAGCCATCCATAATTCATGGCATGACGTTACTTTTATACTTATAGAATCTAAAGAATCTACATTGATATGTTGGGGGCAACCTGTCGATTTGCGCAATTATCGCGCAGCGTATTTGGTTGATCAAGGAAATGGCAATTTTCGTACACTTCCATCTTTGGTGCCATACGGTTGGCTATACTTAGATGTAGTCACGTGATCGTAGGGGTATACTGGTGTGACGTCAAACAAGATGGGCAGCGTACCTAAAAATAGTTTGCACCTTTCTACGTTTAATCGCATATGTGTGTAATGGGGCGCTTTTTCGGTAGTTCCCACCCCGCAATTGTTATTCACGGGTTTTGGCCACAAGAGTAGGGGGGTTTCAGGGGGGGCATGTGAATTTTACCATATATATAAAATTTAATGTTTTGCAGTTGTTAGGTTGGATATCTTAGCTCACCGCGAATCAAACGTATAGACCTAGATGTAGGTCAGGCTCAAATAAGGGGGGTGGGAACTACTGAAAAAGCACCTGTAATGGAACGTTTGTTCACGGCACAGAATTCTACAATTCTATGGAAGTGGCTATTCTCACCCGGGGTGAGAATAAAAATACGATCTACCTCTCACCCCAGGTGAGACTTGCCAGCGTAGGCTATTCTCACCCGGTGTGAAACGACCTGTTTTTCCTCATTTTGGAATACTGTTTATCGGTGTGGATGATCAAATTGATAAAATCCAAGAAAAAATTATGTTATAGCACAAAAGGAAGCTAATTTGATCATGTACAAAGAAGCTATGGCTATTTCACTTTTCGAATCGAGCCGAACTACGCGGGTCGCCATTTTGTTTTGCCCGGAAGTTCTCGCAAGATCTACTCCTCCCCTCTCTCTCTGTGGACGATCAAATTGACCAAAACAAAGTTAAAAAATGATGTTAAAAACAAAACTCAATTAATTTGGTTGTCTACAAAGATGCTACGCCTATTTAACTTTCCGAATCGAGCCGAACTACGCGGGTCGCCATTTTGTTTTGCTCGGAAGTTCTCGCGCTACTCCTCTCTCTCTCTCTTTCCACTGCCCACAGACAAAATTGCACGCTTTTAGGCTAACACTAACAGTAGTAATAGATCTAGAACGTTTCGTTTGTTCACGGCACAGAATTCTACAATTCTGTTATAATCACAGTGTAGAACTCTGAGAATTCTGTGGTTCAGGGTGAACGCTTCACTGATTGGCCTAGGCTATAACGGTGAACGCCCACCGGGTGAGAATAGCCAAAAGACTCGCCTGCGCTATTCCGAATTCGCTATTCTCACCCCGGGTGATAAAATAGAGGTGGCCTTCTGTTATCACATTGTAGAATTTTTGGGTTCAGGGTGAACGCAAAATTGGTTGGCCTAGATCTAGGCTATAACAGTGAACGCACACCGGGTGAGAATAGCCAAAAGACTCGCTTGCGCTATTAAGGGTGGCCTTCCTCGATCAACCAAATCAAATGCGCTGCGCGATCGATGGATCGCGCAAATCGACAGATCGCGCCCAACAGATACATTTAAAAAATCATTGATCAACGAACCAATTTTATGTCAATAGCAGTTGCACCAGCATCAACAGAATTTTCTATCAATTCTTTTACAACACTGAAAACACTAGTAATGACTTGACCACTTCCAATTAGTCGGACAGCAGACGGAGGCAGCCCTTCGATTTTGCTGGGCGGTGCCATATTTGTTTATATCGGCGCCAAGGAAAAATAGAATTTCGGACTCAGGATTACTGAAACGAATATTAACTCAACGCACATCAGCGTGCAAAAGAAATTAGGCTACACGTTGTTCTTTTCCATCTTAAACATTTATCTACATGCAACAAATTTATGAAACTATTGATTTAAAGTTGGGATTGTATTAAAAAGACCAGATTTATCTTACTTTGTCATCTTGAAAAATATCAAAGTACATATTTCAGTAGATATATCTTATTTCGTTTACGTTTTCACCTCATAATTATACATTTAGTACTTCCGCAAATTTTGTTGTCAGTACAGTCGTCCGTCATTCTTCTCTGCTGTGCTGGGTGCTATTCTGTGAAGGGTTGAGTCAAGATAGAAGATTATCTGAACTTATTTATATCGTTGTCAACGGATTTTGACGCCCGCCACACTGACTTGTATAACCTTATGTAAGTTGTATATGTGAAAAGTTGTATATTATTAATGTTTGTATTTGGGGGCTTCCCGGTGCTTAAATTTAAAACTCCCCTTTCTAATTTTCTTAAAATTGTCTTGTTACGTCCTGTACTGTAGACTGTATGTAGGCCTCCTGAGTTATAATTTCGCCTCTCGTCTCGGTCTCAGTTCAGCCACCACAACAGTCGCCTTGGTTCAGTCAGGCAAGTCTTTAAAGTTCAGTTGTTACTTTGTCATAAGACAGTCACACACTTTGGTCACTTTGGAGAAAAGTAGGCCTGGCAGTTGTCTGTTTTCCAAGTGACACAGACTAGAGATAAGAGATCTAGAAATCTAGAATGTAGATCTCTAGATAGATTAGATCTACATGCATGTAGTCATGTAGGCACTGGTACAACATATACAAAGTTTTGATTCACAGTAATACTGTGCTAGATATTTTAGTATGTGAATTCCTTAAGGCAGGCCACCTCTATTCTCACCCCGGGTGAGAATAGCGCAGGCGAGTCTTTTGGCTATTCTCACCCGGTGTGCGTTCACCGTTATAGCCTAGATCTAGGCCAACCAATTTTGCATTCACCCTAAACCACAGAATTCTACACTGTGATAATAGAAAAATTGTAGACTTCTGTGCCGTGAACAAACGTTCCATTTCTACTGTTAGTGTTAGCCTACTAAAAGCGTACAATTTTGTCTGTGGGCAGTGGAGAGAGAGAGAAAGAGAGAGAGAGAGAGGATTAGCGGAGAACTTCCGGGCAAAATAAAATGGCGACCCGCGTAGTTCGGCTCGATTCGAAAAGTTAAATAGCCGTAGCATCTTTGTAGACGACCAAATTAATTTACTTTTGTGTTTTAACATCATTTTTTAACTTTGTTTTGGTCAATTTGATCATCCACACCGATAGACAGTGAAAGAGACAGAGAGAGAGAAGAGGGGAGGAGTAGATTTTGCGAGAACTTCCGGGCAAAACAAAATGGCGACCCCCGTAGTTCGGCTCAATTCGAAAAGTGAAATAGCCATACATCTTTGTAGTCGATAAAATTAGCTTAAACTTTTATGCTATATAACGTAATCTTTTCTTTGCCTTTATCCATTTCATCATCCACATCGATAGAAAGTATTCCAAAATTAGGAAAAACAGGTCTTGTTTCACACCGGGTGAGAATAGCCTACCTACGGTGGCAAGTCTCACCCGGGGTGAGAGGTCGATCGTATTTCTATTCTCACCCCGGGTGAGAATAGCCACTTCAATTCCTTAATGACTGTGGACTGTAATCACCACATTATTTATGGAGACTTGGGTCAAGTTGGGATCTAAATGCCACGCCAGTGAGGTCGTGTTCTGATTTAGAATTTAGTCGCGCATGCACCTTCCACTCCCCCCCTCCCCCCCCTCCCGTCCCACCTTGATTTTCTACAACGAGGAAGTGTGTAACTGCTCGTTTAGTTGATTAAAAATTAATGTATACTCAGCATACGTGTAAACCCTCATTCTCATCCAGTTTGCATTGCAATACATCAAACACAGGTTTTATTTTATCTTCTTTCAGAGTAATCCGAGGTAGTAAAGGAAAATGGTTAGCAACACTGGAGATGAAGATCTTTTGTCTTTTTGTAGGAAAGAGAAATTAAGACTTTAACAAAAGTTCACACTTTAATTATTATGCTATATAACTTAATGACAAGATGACCCTGTGGATCATTGGAAAGAAACTAAGAAATATAATATAAATTTAATTGCAAAGCGTATCTTAAATACAGGGTGATAAAAAAACAACTGTTCAACTTTTTTGTTGATATTTTCCTCCAACACTGAAGTTTTGAGTTTCAAATTTGTACACATTTAAATTTGGAAGTCAAAAAGAATTTGAACGGTTTTGCTCTACATAGCAGATAGCACATAAAGATTCAACCCATTTTCAGTTATGTACCCCTTTTTTGTAGCATGGCGCACTAGTTCGTATTAAGCGTACCACTAAAAATCCCAACGATTGTGCCCTATTGCAAACTAGGGTAGGTTGGGGCAAATTCGACCATGGGGCAACTTCAACAGCCTCAACCTAGACTTTGCTTTTGAGAATCATTTGACCCCTGTGTCGTGGAATTATCAAAGCCCACTTTTATTCGTTGCACATTTGATTCTATCTAAAAATAAAATTTGGGCTTCCAAGGCTTCCACTTGTTTCTTTTTTTAGTCAGAAAGCTCCAGAAAACACCCATCCAAGTTCGGCACTCCGTTGCGACGTACTTTTCGCTCTTGAAGAAAAAAATTGATATTTCACCCGTCATTTACTTTCTTATACACGCTTGTTTTCTTACTTCAAAATACTAATCATTTATTTATAACCAAACTTTGGTATCCTTGGGTTCATTTTAATCCAACTAGAATTAGAAATGTTGATTATTTGAATTTAAATGATTTATTTAAAATGATGGGGTGAGATTTTGTGGGTTGGTGCATCTTCGACAGGGCGAAATGGGGCAACTTTGATAGGGGGGTGGGCCAATTTCGACCTACCAGCTTCATAATATACATATAATATAAGCAGAATCACCAGTAGGCTACTACTAACAAACTATCACATTTCATTAATATCTTGTGTTTGTTTTTATCATTTTCATCGAGGGTCGAAATTCCTTGACCGGTCAGATACAAACTAGCAGAAATCTAGATCTAGACTGCTCAATTATCGCATTTTCGAAGCTAAATGTGTGTGTGGGTGTGTGTGTGTGCGAGAGAGAGAGAGAGAAAGTGTGTGCGTGCGTGTCACGTGTGCGCACGTAGGACTATGATGCGAGTGTGTGTCTTCGTGATTGTGCGTGCTCGGAGAAATAGGGAGAGGGGGGGGGGGGAGGACTGGGAGGAGACAGAGATGATAGACAGAAAATTCAGCATTCTAGAGGAGTTGAGAAAGAGAGAGAGAGAGGGGGGGAGGCACAATAAGTTGAATAAGAACTCAGTAGCCTAGGTTAAGCCTACTGTTGAAGATATCCGCCCCCTGTCGAAGTTGCCCACAGCCCCTGTCAGTCAGTATTCTTACTCTTTCAGCCTATGTCGAAGTTGCCCCAAGCGGGGAGTGGGGGGGGGGGGGGGGGGGGGCGAATTTGCACCACCCCCTGTCGAAGTTGCCCCAAGCATGGGTATGCCACAAAATCGTGATTGGTTGAAGATTCGGAATGCAAATAGAGTAAAAAACGTAATAATCGAGAAGTAGAATGGCTGCTTGGCACAACGATACTAAGATAGTCTGTGTTCTTTCATAAAGGTGGGACAGTATCAGTTACTTTTGCGGCACTACACACACCTGTCGAAGTTGCCCCAACCTACCCTACAGTAGTCTTAACAAGCCAACAGAAGTTTGCTGGTAGTTTTTTCTCATTTTTAAGATTAGTTAAGAGCAGAGAGCTTTTGTGTTGAACTTTTCCGTACCACCAATTCATTTCGTAAGTCGTAAGTTTCGCACAAGGTATGGAAATAGTTTTCAAGTGCCCTAAGGCGTTCTTTGATATCAAGGGTGAAAACGGTTCATCAGTTACGACCTGTAGAGAATCAAAACAAAAAGTTCCCTGACTAAATAACCACTTCAAGTCAAACACACACCATATATGCACCCCTTTAAAGGTCACCAGGGTGCAGAATTCAGTAGATGAGCCCTATGTTACGTCTGTTCGTAGAAGATGTCTGCAGCAAGGGCTTTCCAACTTTTCAACGGTTAGCATGAAGGCAGATCTTCATCTGTGACTGTACCATTTTCCCGTTCGCGAAGCTATCAGAGGATAGCAATGTTCATTATTCCTCGATCATCTTGAAAAGAGTGAACATTTCCTCTATGACATTTGGTTCCTTGGCAAAGCCCATATATATACCTTTCAGGTTAACTCCATATATGCTGTCTATTTGGCCAACCTCCCCCCCCCCCCCCCCCCCATATTGTCTCTAGAAACAGCTCCATACTGTAAGGTGTACAGTAGTGTGTGTGACTTTGAGTACTCATGGTTGAGTGGGTCCTTGTGTTCGGCCACCTCTGAACATAACGAAAGATGCATTAAAATGTGTTGAGTCCAAAGGAGAACAAATGTATATATAAATAGACCATTGGTTCTTGGAATATCACAATTTAAAGAATATTTTTAAACTCTGAAGGAGAAAAGAAATATTGTTTAAAGGTTACAGGGATGGAAAGATTAGATTTTTAAAAAATTTTTAAAAAGGAAAAAACAAACCGATCATTTCATGACTTTCCTGACAAGATCTTTGAAATTGGTGCATAAAATTTTGCATTATAATTTAAAGGTGGTTTTTATAAAAGCCATTTTCGTTTTCGAAAATAAGTTTCTTATTTGTGAATTTTATATGAAAACAAATTCCTTTTTGACTTTGAATGAATTATATTTGTTCCAAATTACAACATTCTAGTACAAATGTTTTGCTAAATATTAAGAAAAAAATGTATACAGTTGTTTTTTTTTATCACCCTCTGTATATATATATATATATTTTTAACATGTTTTTTTTTAAAATTCTTCCTCAGCAAGGTGTTGAGATCTCATATAAAAATACAAAGAAATGAATGTGGGTGTAGCACACAGTGACAGCAACCCCACACACTCCTACCTCAACAGCAAGGGGATATGGCTCACATACCTGCTGCTGGTGTTTGGAGTCCATTTGCTGTTGCTTTCTGTCCCTTTCTTCTCTGTGGCTGTTGCCTGGACACTCACCAATGTTCTTCATGATCTTGTGAGTATTATTATACAAGAGTTGGTGTTTCCCTTACATTTGACATTGCTCAGTATGTATCATGTGTGTGCTATTTTCAAAAAAAGAAAATTTGATATGACCATGTTTTGTAGGCGCTTTGTACTGTAGTCCCGCTGTTTTAAGAAAACAGAATTTTTAACTACACAAAAGTCATCCCTAAGATCCCGCTTTGATTTACTCTGAAGGTCTACATTCGGCTAAGATCCCTTTTTTCAGATCATAATATACAGAGTAAAAGCCTGGGCGGGCACCGCCAATCAATCAAGAGTGAAAAGTTGATACCATTGAACTGCCCGTCGCATCAAAGATGAGCCATTCTTGTGAATGTGATCACATTTATTGTAAAACTCTATGAAATGGTACAATGTTTGCCTCAGACAGGATCTTAATATCGAGGTGTGAACTGACCAACACGTTTAGTTTCCCCAAACATCGCTCTTGCATCTGAGCTGTACATCCATGTAAACTTACATCACTTTCTGGGTGGGAAGGGTCTAAGATTTCTCTCCAGGCGGGATTACATTGAACTGTGAACTCTTCCTTTATCATTGCAGCTGTTGTCTGTACTACCGAATTTGCGAAACTTGACTAAATTTTAATTTGTGTGGTCACAATGTAATGGTGCGTAACGACAAAGATGGGAGAACTTGGTTAGAAATGGAAAGAGCTATAAATTTTGGACAGGTAAAGGGGAGGGGCAACTGGATTAGCGTAGATCTTGAGTCTCAGGATAGGATGATTTATAAGTGACAATGATTCTCAATGGCATGCCTCATGCCACTGTGATTGGTCTTAAAGTTTGACCACTCTTTGTTCACCATATGTCATAAACCCACTCAGGGGTCATGTCAGTTCATTTTTAGAGTGAATGGAAACCATTTACCGGTTGTGGTTCACTGTAGATTCTTCCCTTGGTGCGTCGGCTAAGATACCGTTCATCTAAGATCCCACATTTTCCTTGTTCCCTAGCACCGGGTTCTTAGGTGGAGACTTGCACTACCGCATTGTTTGTGTTGTTCTGGATCAAGAGTTAAATATCAGAATTTTTTTCAAAACTTCCACAACTCTGAGTAAAATATGAAAAAGTTTAATGTTAGTGCTGGGGTCTCTTGCTTCAAGGGCAAGACAAAAGTGTGCCAATTATTCTGAGCACCTTACTGCTCATGAGTGAAACTTGGAGCTGGATGAGAATGTGGTGGGTATAGCGAAGATTTATCTGACTTAAGTATAAGACTTAGTCTTAAATATGTTGATCAAATTTATGTGTCAAAACTGGAAGGAAAGTTAAAGCCATTTTACTGGTAGGTATAACTTAAGCCCCAAAAGCTCCTGGCTCCTCAACCTGTCGCGACTGCCCAAAATGGAATGTTTCACACTGCAACAGTGGCTTTGGGATGTTGAAAATATTTTAAGGCATATTCAGATTAGAGAGTAGCATACTACAGTGGAACTCCTATTCAAAGAGCTCTGATTCAACGAGATGAGACAGATTCCCCGTTTATTTTTTTTCTTTAAAATCAATAAAAATAACCGGATTCAACGAGATCGGATTCAACGAGGTCGCTTCCAGGGTGAACAGCCCCCGTAGACGTGACTTCGCTCATTCTTCTCCCAGAACGAACTTTATCTGTTCCCGGAAACCATCCATTGCTTCTTCATCGTGAACCATTAGGCCTATTCACTTTGCCGATTGCATGCGACCAACCAGCGGCCTTTTTTCATACCAACACATGCGTTGTTGGCTCGCGCACGTGTCTACTCTAACGTGTGTCGGGGTCGGGTGGGCGGCTTGCACACTCGTGTGGCTGTGTGTGCGTGTCGCATATACAAACGCGTCAGTCTTTTTTTCCCCCCGGCAACTGATCATTATTACAATGATAAGCTAGCCTAGTCTTGACTTAGATCTACATAATGAATTGTGCGCTGGTCTATGGAATCAAAAGTTGCCGTATGTTTGGCTCTACACAGCAACACAACTTTGTGGTAAACAATCGAGATGACACAGGGGTGTGCATTTGAACAAATCGTTGTTTTTTTTTTACACAGCTCATAATATGCAGGCATTTCAGGCACTACTTGTGACTTCTCTTTATTCATTACTTGCTCAGTGCCTGTAATTATCTACTCAAAACCTCGTGTTTGCTATAACGAACACTTGGATTCAACAAGATTTTAGGTCAGACCCGGCGACCTCGTTGAATCTGAGTTCCACTGTATAGTAATAGTAGTGAACTATTTTTTTGCATGAACAAAGAGGTCTTTACTCCAGCACACTAACAACTTTTGCTCAGCCGCAGCTTGTGGCCGATGCCAGATAAAATACACACTACTGGTTTGTCTAATTTTTAGACCCCGCTCATTGAAAATATGGCCGAAGCCCAGTCTCAAACTTATTAATCTGAATGAAGACTAGTGTGCCACAAAAAATATCAGATTTATGGATAGTGTTTTCGCTTTGACGGAAAAAGTTTGAGGACTTTCATTTGAGGTCCATTGGAAAGATTTTTTGAATATCATTGCAAGACAAGATATGAACAGAAAGGTAGTGGGAAGACAAGGAGTTACTATTGTACTGTCACTGCTCATGCAATATGAACTCAGCAGTCTAGCACATTGTGTTGAATGGGAAATGTGGAAGTTCCAAAGACATCTATAGAGGACCACAGAATAGACTGAAGAAAGAGGATTGACCTCTTTTGAGAAATAACTATCTCTGTAACTGTGTGTTTTGATGGTCCAGTGCTTAAAAATTTATATTTTTTTTTCAAAAATCTAATTGGAAGAAACTCATGAGACGAAATAACTAAAAAATTTGTCTCAAGCTCATGTGTCTGCTGAAAGTGAAAGAAGCCACATTCTAATACTAATAGTCAAGAGCTAATGACAATAATCGTCAAAAAATCAGTATATTAGGGAGAAAAGGCTCCAGAAATTGCACAAAATGTAAGCATTCTGATGAGAACTGCGTGGACTTAATTTTTAATATGAATTTAAAGATAGAGTAATGTGAATTTTAGATTTTGGTTTTTACGTGGCACCACGTTGTTAATGTAATGTTCTTTAGCAGGAAGGCCGCTAGGACTCCCTTGAAAACTTTCTACTCCCAATGTTTAAGTTAATACTTTGATTCAAACTCTGGTTGCTAGTTGTGCTGTATTCTGGTTCTATCTCACTTTACTACCATCCCATAGAGAAGAAAACCGGAATTTTAATATATTCAGTTTGAGTTGAGAAAATGGGTTAAACTGGTGGAAACTACTTGTATGGTCCCTACCTAGTGATGACATGTTTTGTGTGTTTGTTTCAGAGTATGTTTGTGATGCTCCATGTGACCAAGGGCACTCCTTGGGAAGCAGCTGACCAAGGTGCTGCCCGCACAGAGACACAGTGGGAACAGCTGGACTGTGGGGAGCAATTCACTTCCACCAAAAAATTTCTCACAACTGTGCCAGTGGTCCTGTGAGTACCTATTAGTGTGTTGAGATCTTATGAATGATTTCTTGTTTTTCATAAGTGAGTCAAATTTTAACTACAAAGATCTTCTCTCTAGTGCACTTTGTATTTGTTGAGTTGTTACATGCCAACTTCATGGCATTTTTGTGGTTTGCTAAATTTGTTTTATGGCATCTTCAGGGCATTTTTGTGGTTAGCTAACCAGGAGTAACCAGGTTTATTAAAGTACTTATTTGTGGCTCAGGATATTTTTTTAGACAAAATACTCATATTATGAACTTCTGTGCCAAGCTGTTGCTTGTCAAAAAAGAAGACTGTCTTCAAGGCGAATTTATTTTAGCTGTGAAAAAATAGCAAAAGGCAGTTGTTGTTTTTTGGGGGGGTAAGTGTTTCACAGTGCTCGCAACTGGATAAGGTCATATGAATGCGTGGAACACGTTAACTCTTTTCCTACCAGGCCAAAATTCACCACTGGCCCAGGGCTTTTCCCTGACCTATTTTTACGCCCCTACCCCACCACAGGAAAATGTCAAAACATTCAACTTAACACACACAAACCATATCATATGGCCCATCAAACTGAAGGTTAAAAAATAATCTATCTGATAGTGATACAATATTGAAGATTTATTCCAATTATATTAGTTTGGGGTTTCTAAAAGTGATGATGCAATATCGAAGATGTCATATGAAATTAACAATTTTCCAGCTTTGAAAGGTCATATATCTAAAAAAGTACAACAACAGCATCATTCAAACTTCCTAGGTAGGTTGCCTCAAGTAATGCAAAGAAATGCTGAAAGTGTTGTATGTGTACCTAATATAGAAGTGAAAATATGAGACATATACTGAAGTCGAGAAGGGGGGCGCTTTTCTTCTCATTTTTACATTTCGAAGGGGACAAAAAGCGCTGAAATGGCTGAAAATCGTCTCTCAGTGCTACATTTTCTTTCGTATCTGCTAACAGGAAGTCTATTCTATTATTTTGAAAACTTGGATCGGGCGAGAATTTCATTACTGGATTGGAATAGATAGCGAGCCACTCAAGCCGAATTTTGCAGCTCTCGGTCCAGCGAGGCCAGGTCCGCGACGGCTCACAGTAGGGAATGTGTTGATACGCATTTTCTGTTGGGTACGAATTAATGTTGAATTTTGCCCCCGTGGCGGCCGAAGCCTTCTCTTATCGGTTTTGGACCACCAAGAAGTCTTCAACATGTGCAGCTTGCATATGGGACCTTCGAGATTTTTTTACCCTCGTCCAAGAAGGTTAGGTGTTAGATCTTTTCTGCCCTAAGATCAGGAGTGTGGCTGAAAGAACAGTAAGAAAGAGCCAAGGATCTACAGTAGAAAGGCTGCAGGAAAGAGTCAGGAGCCCAGAGGAGGTGGCAAAGAGGAGGGTATTAGAGAGCAGGAAAGGGGGTGAAAGGAGAACATTTTAGAGAAGAAAATTTTTCGTCGCTGTCAGGTTTCGAACGTGGGACGTTTTGAATGAGAGGCGAACACTGTACATCTAGACCAGGAGAGCCCACAAGGGCTGCCTGGCTGTTCCTTTGTATCAGTATCATAGATTAATTTCCTCCAAGTCCATGGAAATTGGTTTCAGCAGCTCCTTTTTAAGATAAATTTAAGAAACTATTTTCTGAAAATTGCTCTCTGTTTGCTTTACTTTTCAGAATACTAATCATATTAGGTTGCTTTAATTTGTTCATGTGATTCTGTGATCACTTTCAATAGCCTTAAAGGTCTTCACCTGTGATTCCTGGTATATATATAGTTCACATGTTTGAGTATTTTTAGCTACAGGACATACATTGTTTTTGCAGGAAATTGCATTTGTGGATCTGTTTTTTCTATGATAGTGTGGATGGATTATTGCTGGTTGTGGTACCATGGGCTGTTCTTTTTGCAACGATTCTGAATGGAATTGTTTGGCATATATCTGTTTGAGTCTTTGTCACGTACAATCACAAAGACATTTATTCTGTTTCTAGTATTTGTTCATTGTACTTTGTTTTGCAGGTTTTTCCTGGCCAGCTTCTACTCCCGCTATGACAAGTATCATTTTGTGATCAACGCTGGTGTTCTTGCCCTCAACTTAATCCCCAAGTTGCCACAATTCCACAAAGTCCGCCTGTTTGGCATTAACAAGTACTGAGCTCATCAGTCTTGATTTTCCCATTGGTATTTTATTATTTGTTTGTGAAAAACTGGAGTATTTTTTTTTTGTGGGTTTTTTTCCCAGTACAGTATAAGGTTTAGCCAGAAGACTACTGAAGTCTCTGGAAAGATATCTCAGATATTCCTAAAGTGTGGGTGCCCATGGTTGAACATTTGCCATTTTATTTGATAAACTTGCAATCATTTTGTCTCTGTGTTTAGAATGCAGACACTAGTATTACAAATTTCAATGTTCATTGCAGATATTGATCAGTTCCTTTTCTCCCTTTTTCTTCAATTCTTCATGCAAACTGATAATGAAATTATATATATTTGGTCCACTGGTCATGTGAAATGTGCTGATGATGTCTCACAGTATTTGACAAATCGTTTTGTTTTAATTTATTTTGCTGTAAAGAAGCTTGTTTCTTATTTTTATTTTTTTTGTCCGAAAATTTGAAACAAAAATTGAAAAGAACTGGACTTTTTTGTCACAAACATCCACCATATTGTCATTTAGTGACATAAATGTTGTCACTGTTTACTTAAAACTTAGCATTGTATTTATTTTTGAAGATTTTTTTTTATCTGTGCATCATAGCACTATTGTGACCTTTTTTGTGTTTTCCTTATTTGATTACATTTTGGGAAGAAGTTAATTTGGTTTGCACTTTCTTTGCCAATTTTTACCAACTTGTTATGTGGATTTATGCTTAGGTTGTAAAGGGGGGGGGGGGGGTCATTGTACAGTTTTTATAAATTTAACAGATTACATCTTGAAGTCATGAATATAAGAAAATGATTTTCAATGTCAAGGGTTTTTGTAGTCATAAGCTCAACCAGGAAAAAATGTCAAATTATTTTTTTTTTCTTTTATCTTACTCTTGAGATTTAATAATGATGTAGTGCAGTTGAAAACTAAATTATAATAAAAGTTTTTATCATTAAATTTTGTTTTGTACTTGAAAAGAATGAAAGTTGAGATCTGGTTATCATTTCTGTGTCAAAGAATATGAATACCAAAATTCTCAGAGGGTTATTGTTTGCGGCGGCTGTTGTCATGTAAGCACTCTCGTTTGCCAATGCTTTGTGAAAAATGTACTTTTTTTTTTTCAAGTTTCACATACAATCTCAGCATAATCAGCTGGAATGTCCTTAGAGACAGAAAAGATTAGTTTGGAAATACTCTTAGTAAATAAAGTTGTGAAATGCAAGGGTTGATGTTTTTCTACATAAAGATGCATTATTATTCTTTTGTAGACCTTTAGATTCCAACAATAAGTGTTGTCCTCTTTACCTTTGAATTTGATATCAATTTAATGAAAATTTGCGAATTGATAAAATACTTTTGTTTGATACCATCAGAATGAACATTTGTGTGATTATAGATAGGGTTCCCTTGACAAAGTTTTTGTCTTGACTTTGATATATCTCACCCTTGTTTTGTTGTATAAATTGCCTTTCTTTCCACAGGAAACTTGATCTCTGTTTTTATTCTCAAATGATTACAACTCAGGTTTTGTTTTCATTTAGCTTTGTCTGAGCAGAGGTGTAGGCCTACTGTGGTCATCTTTCACTCAATAAAAAAGCAAATCTTCCCAGAGGCTCAAATATAGCCCTGTGTAACAGTAATTGGACTCCAAAACAAGAGTACATCTCTTTTTTTTTGTATGTTGATAATTTTTGGTCTGTAGAGAAAAGTTTTTATTAAAATTAGAGACAGAAATTTCTATAGTCTGAGGAGATGTATGCTAAATAAGATTTTTTTTAAACGTCTGAAATATATATATATATATATATATATATATATATGATTATGGTTTTTTAAAAATTACATGTTAAGCTCATGTCATCCAGGAGTAAACCCTTACCGAGCATGTTCCTTGCTATACTTCCTAATAGATGGTAGCAAGCTCATATTTGAGCATGCTTTTTTCTAAAACGGGACATTCCTATGTTGCTCTTTTGGTTCAGTCTGTACAAAGTCCTAAGTTTAACTTAGTTGTACACGGTAGTATGAATCAATTTCTTCACCTGAATTAAACAGTACAGATGATAGTTAAATATTAAAAAGCATAGGCTTATCAATTTTAAAAATGAGTGTCAATTTTTTTAAATCCAGTGTAAGACTGACTGTGTGCATTGCATTGTCAGTTTAGCCAAGCCGATATTGATATATATGCCTGTTTTGTTGCCGACTTTCACAGAGTATTATATCCCTCTCTTTTTCCTGCTCCTGTTGGTTATATGTTTATGGTAGAATGAGCCAGGTACTTTCTACAGCTGTTTTCCTGTTTGTTTCTAGTAGGTTAAATTCCACAGTGACTCATGTATTTGACATGATCTCAGATGTCATTGTATAAATTTCAGAGACTCAGTTTCGAGTTTACTTTTACTACTGTTGCATGCTTTCTTTTTCTTTGTTACGGAGCGGTCTCTTTGTGGTGGTGGTTTGTTGAGCCTAATACTAATATTTTTTTCATTGATTCTGAGGCAAGGGACGGAGCAACTTTGGGACTTATGGTTCTCCTGTATTGCGATGATGTCAACCTTTCTGATCAGTAATCAGTCAGTTATTTTTGTTTTTGGTTCAATTTATTTTTGGACAACATGTGGGTTCCACCACCCTTCCAGAATTTTTTTCAGTGATGTAAATTTTGAAATAGCTTCACGTTTTTTGTAAGAAAAAAAGGAATTCAAAGTATTTCCTTCTTTCTCTAGTGAAAAGCATCCCAGTAGCAGTCAGAGGATGATATGATGTGTACTGCTCCAGCTACTTGTCTAACAATGTTGATACTGTCATTACTTTACTCACTTTGGTTTGGTTGGCTTGATAATGCACCCTAATTACAATTACAACAAGGCACATGCTGAATTGCTGAAATTTTATAGCTGAATTGATTCTGTTGGTCTTGTAAATCAAGTTGTTAGTTGAGATTGTGAGTTTAAAACTAGAGAAATCCCCCCCCCCCCCCCCCCCCCTCTCATTTGGACTTCTTATTTTCTTCTTCTGTACGGGAGAAAGATGGTGCTGCAAACTTTTATGATCTGTTGTGGAACCAATATTGGATTTACTTACTTGCTTCATAATTTAATACATTGTTGAGCGTTAAACATTTGATTGTTGGCATTCCATAAAGTGCAGTCTAACCTTTCTTCAGTTTTTCCGACAGTTTATCGTCATAGGTAGACAATAAAATTTGCTTAAGGTTATAAGTCTCTTCCTCTTGGTGGACAGAGTTGGTTGCAGTTGTAGCTGTAAATGTTGTTGCAGACTAGTCAAGCGCAGCCCCCCCCCTCTCTCTAACAAAAAGGATATCTCCAAACTTTTTCCCCCCAAAAAACTGGACTCTTTCAAATTACCTGTTGACCATTGATGTTTGGATGCAAAGTAGGCCCTACATAAAAATACACACTTATCAATTATGGTATGCCCAATATGCTGCATGAGTTCATGCATACACTTAAATGTAAGTCCATCAAAGGCTTTCTCGTTGTTTTGTTTTTCTTGACTTAACATTAATTGTTGAGATCTTAATTTACAGAAGCTTAGGTGACTCCTGTCTTCATTTTCAAAGACTTCAGGACAGTTCCTGTTTTTGGTGGTTGGGGGGTGGGCAGGTCTGATTGTTTATCAGTGTTGTACTATTTGTGTGTATTGATTTTTCTTTGGATTTACACTTACAAGGATGATATTCTGCATTTACAGCAGTGCCAAATTTTTTGCATATGGTTTTCCTCATTCTAAAAGCTTATCATGCTGTCTAAATATAGCAGCACTCAACACTTCTAAAAATAAAGAAGAAAACACTCCCTTCCACATACTTCTCTTTGACAAATGAAGAAACGAAGCTGAAATTTTTTAGTGTGCTCTAACAATGGGCACTTTACAGCATATGGTGTGTACAGGCCTCTCTGTCTGTTTGCTGCTATTTGCAATTTTGTTTCTTTCTAAAGACATTTTCATTCCATGTTGGAACTTTTTTAAATTCTTTTGATTGTCTTTTGGTGAGTTTTTTAGGGGTTTTTGTGTCAGATTTTTAGTGCCTGTTTGTTACATGCGGATATATACTGTTATACAAATGTTTTCCCCTGTTTGTGAGTGTTTCTTTAGTGTCTTGCATTGCTTTGTGATGATGCTGATCAAATTCTCTTTACGATACTTTTTGTTGTTGTTATTGTTTTGCTGTCTATGACATGAAGTTCAGTGTGGGCATTTAGATGTTATCTAGGCTGACAATGATAAACAAATGCTGTAGGTGGAGGCTCCTTTTGTTTTATGCTGCATGCTTGCAGACAACTGCTATCAAGCTCATCCATGCCTCTGATTTATTATACTTTCACTCAGCTAGTCAAGGAATGCGTGCAACTTCTGCAGCTGATCAAGAGAACAGCTGATGAATACAGCAAATGTCTATTGCCTCTCACTCTCAAGACATGCCTGCATTTGAACTGATTCTACTCTGTGGACAAAAGTTTGGAGGTCATTTATATTATGTATTGATGTTGACTTACATTGGAAACTTTTTTTCCTCATCACTGTACTCATGTCTAATTTTTTAAACTATTAAGCCAGTGAAAGTTAGAACAAAGAAAACATTCAATAAGAAGGCTCATAGTACTGATAGTCATTTAAAAAGATTGGTTTTCATTATGCGTAAAGGAATCACAAACTGGTTGAATTACTTACTGTACAGGTGTCGAAGTGCTTTTTTTCCCTTTTCAAGGCTGATTCGTCCTTCTGAGAAATATTATCAGCCTTGTTTGGTTTTAATTCTTTGCTTCCTGTTAACAAGTCTTGGGGCCAACATGAACGTTGCCGTTACAACTGAATGGAAGCTGACATCAGTTTGTTCTGCGCATATTTAATTGAGTCATGTTGGGTAATTACTAGGAAAACAGAGCAGGAAGCAAAGTGTTAATCAATGTGAATAATGGAATTTATGTGTTTTTTATTTGTTCTGACTCAAACTAATCACAACCTGACTTAGAATTGAGGTTAATACCCAATTCTTGGTATGTGCAATGTCTGTCGGGTTGTGGCTTGTATTTGCTGTATCATGTGGGCTTAACGTTTTCTTTTCTTATTTTACAAAGTTTATTGATTTTTACTGTGGCTTATTTTATTTAGTTTCTGCTCTACTTACATAAATGCGTTGGACGTTGAGATGAAAGTAAGGAAGGCAGGGCCAGATGTGAAAGTTGCAACATAAATATCCTGATGATGTGGTAAAATTTGTTCTCCAGAAAAGAATATGTAGTGTTACCATACAGCTACTCGTTATTACAGCCAATATTATTACTTGGAACTTTAGGTTTATCAAATGTAGAGACCTCTATCCTGGAGTATTTCGTGCAAGAGCTATGAAAGAAACAAATGGCACCTTGAAGTTATGAATAGTAATTTCTTGGATACCCATTTGACCGAGGAACTACAGAAAGTGTATGAACACAGTAGGCCTATAGTGTTAATGAAATGAAAATATTCCTTAAAAATTACTGGCTTCCTGTTTTGCTGCACATTCATTACATCATCAAAGCTTCTACTTCTAGCTCTGTCAATTTGCTTTTTACCTAGCTTTTTTGTTTTCTTTTGCTTTTGTTCATAAGTAGTACTTAGGCAGCAAACAGAAACTGATAATGATGACTGTTCTTCAATGTTCTGATATAATGAAACATTAGTTTGACTGCCCAATTATCTTGTGCATTGATTGAAAACTATTGAAGCCAATAGCACTACTTGATGATTTTCATGTTAAAATATTGAATAAAAATTTGACTTATGTTCTATGGCCTTCAGTTTACCTGTCTTGAATAGGGAAAAGGGTTACTTTGCTGTGGTATGTAAGAAGGTCCAGTAAGGAAAAAATAATTTTAAAAATCTCTTGGATTTAGAATAAGTTTACACACATGTGCTGTTGAAATTGCCCAAGACGGCCACCCATTGTTGAGGAGAGAAGACTTTGTTTTGGTAAGTGTTGTACGGTGCTCACAACTGGTAAGTGTTGTACGCTGCTCACAACTGGTAAGTGTTGTACGCTGCTCACAACTGGTAAGTGTTGTACGCTGCTCACAACTGCATAAGGTCATATCATATGAGCGGGCAGGACACATTAAACAATTTTAATTTGTTAGGAATTAATTTGGAATTTTGCCTGGGTGTTGGCTGAAGCCTACTTATCGATTTTAGGACCACCAAGGGATCTTTAACTTGCATTCAGCACCTCCAACTTAGATTTTTTCACTCTTATCAGAGGTTAGGTGTCCGATCTTGCCTACCCTGAGATCTCGATGTCGCTGAAAGACAGCAGTAAAAGGGAGCCAGGAGTAGTAATAGCACCGGGAGCCCAGAGCCAGAAAGGGGGAGGGCAAAAAGTGGCAATGAAAGCAGATGACGGAACCTGATTAGAGAGCAGGAAAGGGAGTGAAAGGAGAAAATTTGAAAGAAGAAATTTTTTTGTCGCTGTCAGGTTTTGAATGGGACCTATTGAATGAGTGGCAAACACAGTACAGTGGAATCCTGTTATAACGAGAGGGAGGGGACCGGAGCAAAATGTCCGTTATAGCAGGATTCTCGCTATAAGTGATCCTGTAATAAATTCAAGGGAAACTGTAAAGTAGGGCTAATCTATGAGTTTGGTGTTCTGTTTATTTCCTTTTGCTATCTCCCCTGATGATAACTTTGTTTCAACATGACCTCTTGGCCTTACTTGATCAAAAATCAAATCAAGTTTCTTTCTCTAGCGCTAGATCTAGCGATGTGGACTGACAGCTCGGCGTTGGCGATCAGAAAGGAAGGGCTCTGGGCTAACTCGCTGTGTTTCCCCCCGCCCCACCACACCCTGTGGTGCATTCTGTCTGCTTGCGCACGTCACACATTCGCTCCATCCATCACTTTGCTGTGACCTCTCCATCCCCGCATCGGAGAAGTGAGAGGCATGGTAGGCCTTGATAATGTAAACTAGGCTTACGCTGGCATATCACACGATGTGTTCTGCTTGTCTGCGCATTCCACCCCCTCCCTACTCAGTTGCTCCGGCCTTCAGGCTTCATTGTTGACGCACATGGGCTCTCCTATTCTTGTTTCGCAAGATCACCAACAAGTTTCTCAACTGGCGAGGTTTCACGTTATGTAAAATTGGCCTATGCACTGTGCACAGCAGCAGCAATATTCCGCTATAACCGACTCGCATGTTTGCCTGATAGCGCTATAACAGTATTTTTTACAAAGGTAAAGAGGAGAAAAAAAACGGGGTTTCAGAATAGTGTCTTTATAACAGACTTCTCGTTTTTTCCGGACTTGTTATAAGAGGACTCCACTGTACCTCTTGACTACAAGAGTCAGGTTTACGTATTGGACATTGTCATTATGATATAAAAAAGGATCCTAAGAGAGAAATGTGAACTGGTCATTTGTGCAAGTGATTGTCTTGGACAGGTGGCTGTAGTTAAAGCAGTTCGACTGTAATGTAACACTGCATGTACAGAGTTTTCTTCATCTAATCAAATTTTAACAAGAGCTAAACGCCTCTTGCAACACAGTTAGGTCAAAGTGCCAAAGGTAAGGTGTTACAAGAGAGTAACAAATACAAAAAAGAAAAAGGAGAGATAAGAACATTACTTTAGATGTTTCATAGGAAAGGAGCAAAATCACACCAGAGCATCCACCAACCATCATCGAGTTTTCTTCAGCAGACTTGAAATGATGCATGCTAATAAAGTGTTATTTGATGTACAGGGTGATAAAAAAACCCAACTATAACTTATTTTGTAAATATATTTTCCTCCACACTGAAGTTTTGCCCTTCAAATTTGTACACAACATTTGGAAGTCTAATGGAATGTGTCTGATATTCATTTTAGATAAATCCACTGAATATTTTTGTTCTACATCGCGCTAAAAAACCTACCCATTTTCAGCTGTCTTCATTTTTGTAGCATAACGCTCTAGTTCGCATTAGGCTTACCACTAAAAATCCCAACGATTGCCCCATATTGCAAACTACAGTAGTCTAACAGGCCAACAGAAGTTTGCAGATATGGCATTAATCAAGTTCCTTTGCCTGCTGAGATCACGGTTAAGATTAGTAAAGACCAGAGAGCTTTTTGTATTGAACATTTCCTCACCACCAACTCAATTCGTAAGTTTCGTACAAGGTACGGAAATAAATGTTAAAGTGCCCTGATGTCAAGGGTGGAAATGGTCCACCAGTTAGTTGAGTTAGGACCTGTAGAGAATTAGAACAAAAAATTCCCAAACAAAACGACCACTTCAGGTCAAACACACACCGTTCGCTCCCCTTTAAACGTTACCGGGGTGCAGAATTCAGCGGATGAGACGTCTGTCCATTGACAATGCCTGCAGCAATGACTTTCCTACATCTCAATCAACTCAATGGTCCGCATTCCCAAGGCAGATCTTCATCTACAACTACAACACAACTGTTTCATTTTCCCGTTCGTGAAGCTCTCAGTATCAGAGGATAGCAATGTGTTCAATTCATGATTCCTCGACCGTCTTGAAAAGCGTGAACATTTCCTATATGACATTTGGTTCCTTGGCAAAGCCCATATTTACCTTTCAGGTTATATTAACTCCACAAATGCTGTCTATTTGGGCAAACTTATCCCCCTTCCCCTTATTTGTTTCCAGAAACAGCTCCATACTGTACGGTGTACAGTGTGTGTGGCTAAGAGTACATGTACTCACGGTTGAGTGGATCCTTGTGTTTGGCCACCTCTGAATATTACGAGCGACGCGTTAAAATGTCGAGTCCAAAGAAGGACATATTGACCATTGGTTCTCCGAATTTCAGAATTTTAAAATTATTTTGTTAACTCTGTAGGGGAAGAGAAATATTGTTTAAATGTTACAGGGATGGAAAAATTTGATCTTACAAATAAAAGTAAATGGAAAGGAAAAAACAAATCATTTCTTGACTTTCCTTACATGATTTTTTAAATTAGTAAATTTTGCATTTTTATAGGTGGTTTTTATAAAAGCCATTTCTGTTTTCGAAAATACGTTTTTTCTTTGTGAATTTTGTGTCAAACAAATTCTTTTTGAATAATTTATAGCTGTTCCAAATTGCAACATTCTAGTAGGCCTACATGGACAAATTTTGTGCGAGATATTCAGAAAAAAAGTTGTATAGTTTGTTTTTTTATCCCCCTGTACACAGAAGGCTAATGGGAGGTTAAGACAACATATTTTGTTACAAGATATGCCGTTATCAGTAATTTTACAAAATCTCTATGGTTACAGCCGACCTGCCCTTCTTCAACTTTCGATTGCTAGAGTAACCTGAATATGTGTAAAACCTCTGATTTTCTTCTCCCTTTTTCTAGAAGTGTTTAAAATCTAATTGGGGAAGTATCCTTTAAAGCAGTTGTACAGTTTTATAGTCCTGTAGAATGTTCACATGCCTTCCTCTTAACCCCCCTTGAATGGTAAGGTTGTTCTCTCTGGATGATTACCATTGTGGTCCATTGGGAGGCGGCTCTTGCAGCTTACTGGACACAAACTGCTGTCATTCACCTAACTGCTGAAGACCAGGTACCCATTTTCAGAGGGTGAACTGGGAACAGGGTAAAGCACCTCAACATGCAGAAGGACCGATCTCTTACATCATCTATCAGTTTTAAAAGGGATTTAGACATCCCCTCATAAAAGATCAACTTATAACAGTTTACAAAATAGAAACCAAGACAAACTCTGATGTTGCAAGATATAGTTTAATTGGTAGCAAGGTAGAAACCAAAGTAAATATTGGCAAAATAAAGCACTCTATTTTATTATGAATGTATCTCATGACCTCTTTACGTACCATAAACATCAAGGTAGTAGGTCCTTTATAAGGTAAAGCCGACACACAAAAAATTGGTGCAATTTAAAACATTGAGTTTATGATACTTGCTCTATGTAAGGATCAGCATAGTAAAAGTTTTTTTAAAAAGCAATAAATGACGCACTGCAAATATAATGACACTTGTGTCTTGGAGTAAACTGACAAGAAACTACAAGTACATACAGCAAACACTTATTTTTTTCTCATAGAGAGTATGTAAAACATACAAGAACAGCTTTGGAAAGCAATCATCCTTCTCAGAGGATAACGAAATTGAACAGCACTATCTGTGCTAACCATATATTTTAATCTACATTTTAAAAAATAAAACATCACCTACGGTTCCGTTGACTTTACTCAATTCAGCAAGCCTCATTTAGAAGACAAATCTTTTTGAGAAATTACGTCCTTGAATCACAAGACATAAAGGTGGTGAAAATGTTATACACATGGTCACTTTTCATAAAAGATGACTAATTCCTTTGTTTACACTTACTTGGTACCCAAGTACAGATAAGCTCACAGCCTGTTAACACATCATCACCAAAAACACAGCCGCATAATATCACAAAAATATGAGAGATCGGCATCAATTTAAGAATGTTAGTTATTTATAGTTTGTAAATTATGGAAAAGACAATTGCAGTGAGTAAACAAAAACCTACATCAGCACAAATGGCATTTTAGAAAGAATAGAGCCCATTAACCCTATCCGTACGTCATGTTTTACTATCATATCCTGATTTTTTTAGAAATACTGAAAGTTTCAAAGAGATCTTTGAACTAGAAGTATTCTAAATGTGAAGAATACAACCCCAAGGGTACAAAATGAGAGTGAAGCAAAGAAAAGCATTAAGCAACTGAACTACATTATCCAAAAGAATTAAAGGCTGGTGGTTTGGTATAACAGTCCAACCCGTTGCCATATTATGCATCTACAATACATAAGCTTACCACTTAACTACAAGGTGCTTTTATAATTTTACATTTTCTAAAGTAAGCAAAATAAGTAAGCAAGACCCTGACACTGGCATATTTACCATAAAAGGAGACCTGCAATTCCTTGAAGACTGAACATAAACAGGAAAAAATCAAACCGGTCAACCCCGCAATTTTTCCCCAGTCTTTTCTTACATGTGAGCACCATGGCATAATTTCTTTGTACTTTTCATGTCTTTTTTTTTCCCCTCAACCAATGAGTGTGAGAGATAACAATTTATATATATATATATATATGATGGTATTGTAAATTTTATATAAAATCATTGTAAATACCAAGTTTCTCACTGATGATATGCTGTAAAATTAAAACCAAAAGACAATATTTCCACTATAACAATAGTGCATATATAGTGTTAGTGTTATCAGCACCTTTGATTAAATGTTTATGATATGTCTGCCATAGCGGATAACAAAAAGGTGGTAGGCAAAAGGGGAATTTTTATAGTGAAAAGAGCGAACAACCTTTCACCCTGGAGAGTACAACAGAGCCCTACTACTAGAAGCTGAAAACATAACAAATTCAAAAGACATGTTCTTTAACAAATATCACCAAAAGTAGAGCACCAAACCACAAATAAAACAGCACCAACAAGGATATTTTTTGCATGGTGAAATATTACTTTGCTTTTCCAGCATTACAAGCACAACCATTTTATACGTGTAAATAATGAAATAGAAATAGCAACTACAGTATTATTGTGCATAGGACAGAATATATTGAAATTTGATTTAAGAAGGAAACCCAACAACTTTTCAATGAAGCAAGCAGCATATAAGAAGACAGAAAGACAGGACAGAGAAGTTTATGCTACTCAGCTTAAAAGTTTTGAGTTCTCATTGTTAGAAAAAAGATCTAAAAAACCCAAACCATAACAAAAGGTTATATAAACATTAAACATGGGAATATTGAACCCGTTTGGGTCCTCCAATGAAAGGAGGAGACTGATTTCGGCCATTGGCCTAAGATACTAAAATACTTATCAGGAAGCAACTTTCGTTAAAGCTATCTTTTCTAAGCATTATCATGCAATGCACCTGCTTTGCTCCTCATGAAACATTTCTTGTGCAAGATTTGAAAAAATGACTATGTTACATTTGCCATCACCTCTACAGTTCTACTCTCAACATTTTTATGCTGACACAACCAAAGTTCTGATGACATAATATAATTATTATTCACTCATAGAAATAATTTAATATAGTCGTATGCTGAAGCTAGTTCTATTCCAAAAGTAAAATCTATCCCTTGGGAATATATGACTAGCTGGGTACTATCATACCTGAAACATGACTGGAGGAATACAAACCCAGATGCACTCTACAATTTAAAAAGGTGAATGTTATTACATTGTGTATTAACATTAATAGTTGCAACATACCGACATACACACATGAGTATTAGACAAATGGCTTTGATTCGTCAGTTCTTTATACATGAGGAGCAAACTCAACTAATCTACCCCCGAAAAATGTTTCACTGAATCTCACTGTGAAAAATCAACATCATCTCATCATGAAAGAAAAAATCAAGCACAACATACTGTATTTCCCTCTTATAGCAACCAAGGAGTTCAAAACCAACCTTTTTCTGATTTCATCTCAAAAGAGCTTCGAGTCAGTAATATTAATACACCTGACAGGGATTTAGTTTAAATAGAAAATCAAGAAAGATTTTAAGCTCAGTATACAGAGATATGTTTCATCATTATCGCTTGAAGAAGTATTCTAAGAAAGACAGTGGTGGGGTAAGACATCTAAAAATATATTGAAGGAAATGTAGAAAAGCACAAAAACAAAGTGCTGTTTAACTACATAGCAGATTACAGAGAAGCCAGGATTCTACAAAAAGTTTCGATGTAAAACTGTATTTATTATCGCTCTTCTATTTACATTGTTTTCCTCATGGCAACTGACCGGAGACAACAAGCATCGAAAAGAGAAAATATAAATAATGGCAGAGACAAAAGAGGCATTCAGATCTTCAAAATACTAACAAAAGGAACTCTGTATACTGTCCCTTAAACATTTCAGCCCCACCATGTGAGATAACTGGCTTATCTAATAAACCTGCTGCTTCATTGACACTACCTTATGTTTATCGGCTGATTTTTATTTGACAACCTTTGCGTTCATGATCTGTGAAATGACCAAGCAAGTAGCAGTGAAGGCCACCATCAGCATAATCTTGAGACATTATGTTACAGGCACAGAGAGAAAAGAGATTAAAGAAGAACAATATGGCAAACACACGAGATGCTTTTACTTTTTGGCAAGTCAAGTCTTGAAAAGTAGAAGATAACAAAGTTAATCGCAACAATGTGGGTTAGGAAATATTGTTCAGCAAAAATGATTTTCAAAAAGCTTCCAAAGTGAACATCATTACCTACTTCTCCACGTAAACATCATCACTTCTCCCAAACATCAAGCTAACTATTGTTTTGGTTTTTTTCTTTAGTCAATGAAATTCAAAAGAATTACAGAGTATACACCATGAATAACACCACACTTTTCTTTTAAATGTGGTTTACTAAGAAAAAAAAATGCTCAGTCTAGTTTGAAGAAAGACTAAATATTGAAAAAAAAATTACTGTTAATGCACCACATAATTTACTGAGGTGAAAAGATCAACAAGCGGAGAAAAATAATTTGAAAAATGTTTTGACTTCAAGAGTTTCTACTCTTAAAAATTTGACGCTGAAATCCAGGTAGCAACATATGTAAGGAGAATACTTGTTCTAAAATCAATTCAGAATTGAACTATTTGGGTAAAAAAGAGTATAGTATGTATCATTAAGGTACCATCTGAACAGAGGAAAGAGACTGTGTTTAAACTCCTAGAAACCTGTCATGATTTCTGAGAAAGTTTGACTTTCTAAATTCAACACAGAAAATATAACAATAAACTGGCATCCCCAGGAAGGGGGTTAAGAAAGCAATACAAAATCCTTTCCTCGATCTGAAAACCACACACAAAAAAAAACAACCTGAGAAAATATTTTAACTCACCTTAAAGGTCAGAAGAACCATTCCAAAGTTTACTTTGTTTTATATCACCATATTTTTCAAAATATACAGGAAACTTGACTTTTCTAGTCTATTAGTACTATTAGTACCACAAAACAATACAAGAGAGTGAAGACATTTAAAAATTTGTAAATAACATCCCATTATTTTGAAGCATCATTCAAAAGGTGAACATACCACGTTCTTATTCTGAATTTCATCTAGAGCACAACCTTCAATCCAAAATGGGAATCGGCTCAGTACTCACTAGAATACTATGTCAAACATCACAAGTCTGATAATCTAGAAGTAGAAGACATATTACACGATTTCGTGAATATTTTTACACAATTTAGAAAAAGGTTCGATTTTTCAAGGGAATTTTCATCCTACTGAGTATGACAATAAGGAAAGTAAACATTTTTTTTTAAAAACCATTAGCCATTAGAGTCTGAAATCAGATTTTCATTTTCTAGAAACATATTCGTTGCATTTGGTAGACCATGATTGAAATATCACTTTAAAAATGTAATAACACTCTTTGATTACTAACAATAACAACAAGCAAACATATTAAAATCAATAAAAACAGAAGAAGTAAAATGAATCAGCAGCTTACGATACCAGAAGTGAAACTGACAATCTAAATTCGTTTAATATATATATAAAATGCCTAATGACAGTTTATGATTACAAGCTACAAAGGTGATTTAGGAAGAAGCTAGCTTGTCCCTCACAATGTCTGAGAATTGATTGTTCATTTACCCTTTATGTATCAGTACATGTGGTTTATAAATTGAGTATAATTTGTCAACATGAGAAGCAGAGAAAGAAAGCACTGGCATTGTAAGAGCTCTAAAACGTAGCAGCAGTAACAATAATACCAATACAAGAAAGACTCATCAACATGATAACACAAAAAAATTGCCCACTCACATAACCCATTCCCATTTTTAAAAAAGACCTCAGCGAAGGTGTCATAGCATAAAATTAATGGAAGGGTTAAGAAAAAAAATGTGAAGGCTAGCAAAATTGCTGTCACATAAAATAATTAAAAATTAAATAATAAATCACTGGCAAGAAAAGAAAAAGTTACTAATCAGGCCAATTGCAATTAAAAACAAAACATAACAGAAACCTGAGCAATACACATGAGAGATTGTACAACAACTTTAGATGCATGAAAAGCTGTTTGTTTTCCGCTTTTGAAAACTCTCCATTAATATGGAGAGTATTTGATAACAGGGAAGAAGCCAAAGTTGAAGGTGAGGGCTAATGCCTCGTTCATCATCTTGTAGACGACATCCTCGTCAAACTCATCTCCTGTCTCTGCCATTACAGGCAGGTCTCTATTGGTGCAAGTCATAGACTTCAACTTCAGTAATGGTGCTCTTGTGCCGATATCCGCCAACGACCCTGTGAACTGAAGCTCATCTCCCGGTACCAAAGCCATTAGTCTGTTCTGAAAATTGGCACTAGCGTCTAAGTTCACTGTGACATCTTCCACTTGAACAGAAAGAGAGAGAGAAATTTGATTATGGTCTCTCAGGTGACAAGTGCGGCCCGTGGCTGTGACCAGCTGACAATGTTTCAGAGCTTTCTCAGGCATGGTCTCAGCATTGCACTCCCCAATGGGGCTACCATAAATGCAGTACAAGGGGTCAGCTAAGAAGCTGGGCAAAGACTTGATGACAGATTCTGCTGTGTTTTCCACTTTTGTAACTTTTACCTCCTTAACTACTCCAGCCCAGGTTACTCTTGTGCCAACAAAGTCACGGCATCGAATCTGAAAAGGGGCTGAAATCTCATTCTCCCCAGGCAAACATAAACCTTTGTACTCTTCCCAAGGAAGATCTATCACTGCTTTTTCAGTCAATGCAGGAATTTGAACAAAGAGTAATGGGACAACAGCTAAGACAGAAAACCCAATCATCACACCTTTTTTAATTTTTTGCATTTTGGGAGACGTTTTTCCTTCTTTCTTTTTGCCAAACAGAGTTTTGGTCTGAGACAGTAGCAGAGGCACAGAGAGGAGCAATCCTGTGACCACAAGTTTTCCTATCATCTGAGTCATCAACAACTGATAGAACAAGTAGAGAAGTCCGAGCATGAAGAAAACCATGCCAAGGGGAACCAGTATAGGGAGCATAAGATAGCCAACTGTGGCACGGGCCAAACCATAGAATGTAGTGAAAGGAAAGACAACAGTGGAGATGCTGAACCAAAAGAAGCACACCAAATGAGGAATTACAATACGGTATGTTCCCGACCAGGAGTCCCGCATGGCCATACGCATAAGGAGCACAGGAATTAGAAGGTGGACAACAGCAGGCAAACTTATGTTGAATGTAAATCCAAGGCCTAAGTCTAAAGAGACAAAAGGCTGGATGAAAAACTCTACAGCCGCAGTCAAAAAGGGAATCCTCGGAGCTTGCGCCAGAAACACAGGAAGGGAAGCAAAAGCATGAGAGGCTAGAGCTAAGAATGTAAGACTGTCGTGGCTGTCCGAAAGACCCACAAAGCAAAACCCAGTCATGACAAGGCTCACCATAAACATCTCAGCACAAGGAATATGAGCTTTGTTAGCAAGTGAGAAAGCAGTGACCATGAGAGGTAATGCTGTGAAGAAGACAATGTAGGGAGTCAGAGAGTTCCAGCTGTACTGTGAGTCTGTGCTGTTCACGTCAAGTTCCATGTCAAAATTCTCTTGCAGCAAGTGGGCCAGGGAGGTGGCGTCTCTCTGCTTACGTTTTTTGTAGAACATCTGGGGGCAGAAGAAAGAAATATATAGTGGCAATACACAATTTTCATTTCCAGTCTAAATGAATATTTCTTAATTGTACTGTAAAGATAAAACCAATCAGATAGTAGCATCCTTCTGTTCATTTCTAACTGATCATCTCAGGGGAGGGGAAATGCATTTTGAATATACTTTATAGTTTTAAAAAAAACAAATGAGGACAATGCTAAAAAATCATGTACTTCTGAAACATCTAATAAATCCTTTAGCAAAAACAATAACAGAAAAACATCATTGGCAAGAATCTAGAAATTCAATCAAAACTATTTCTATCCAAAACCCCTTGTTCAAACTTCTAAAGGATTATCAGAAAATGTCACAAACCTGCAGAGTACTTATGATGAGTACAAGGGCAGAGATATAGAAGACGAAAAGGGGCACAACCAGGAGCAACAGTTGTGGAGTCAAGAAGCTGTAAGCAAACACCATGGCCAGCAAGTAGATCTGGTTGGTGGGGATCAGGGACACAATAACATTCATGCCTTCCTTGCTGGCAAACTCCAGGCCTTGGTCAAAAGCAATCTGGGCGGTTTGTTTTGGGTACACAAACACCTGTTTTGAGGAAAACAGAATAATTTCGGCTACATTAGAGTTGATGTGGGCCCCTATAACTTTCAAAACAAGTTATGAGAGATTTTTCTTGAAACTCGAAAGTTTCAAAGTAGCAAATTTATTGAGTCATGTGTTTAACAATCAATTTCAGTTTTTCGATTAAAATGTTAGTAAGCCGTTTACTTTAACAGCCTTCTGCCTCGTGTAATATTTATGATCCCTGCTTCCATGAGATGCACAAAGGAAAAAATATTGGCTATTAACTATAAATAAAAATCCACCCCAGCCTTCATGTGTTGAAAAAGTCACTTATTTCCAAATTTAAAAAGGAAAGGTAATTTAAGTCAAACTTCAAATCAATATCAGGCTGGGATACACAAACTCATTTCACTGTTCAGTGAACAAAATTATTGCAAGTGAACAAAACTGCTGTAGCTCTCATGTCACTGTGCTTTTCCTATTTTAAGTTTCTCCTAAGTTGCATGCAGTGACGTTGTACAGAAGGTGGGGCTTGTCGTGACCAAACATTGAGTATTGAGATCACTCAGATAATAAAAGATGCATAATGACTGAAAAAAAACAACCCTGGTGGAACACGCATATAAAATGTCTACGTGAAAATATAAAAAGATTCAAAAGTTTTACAATCTTCTTAGCGGCAATGCCACGTTTGAAACTTGGAAAATGGAATCACCTATGTGTCTTTATACATGTATAATAATAAACATTGTGTCCTTCACATTTTATCTTGAGAAAATTTGCCAGTGACTTTTTGGTTGAACGGTGCATCCTTCATGATGAGCCATTCATGCTGAAAATATCTCTTTTGCTTTTCATCCACAATAGGATTTCCAATAAGTATTCAACACAATACATTGCTGGATCGAAGAACAAAAATTAAATTCCAATTAAAAACTCCTTCAACTCCCTGATACAGTACAACGGCGCTTGTTTCATTGGTTGTCTAAGCCCCACACATAGGACACAAGCGTACACAGTACACGGTTAACGCGCTCAAAATCTTATTCACGTGAAGGCCCTGCACATACAATCCAAGACCACTGACATCATCATTTAACTAGAGAAAATACACAGAGCCGAAAGAGAAAAAAAAACAAAAAAAGAAAGGGGTGGGGGAGGCGAAGGGCGTGCTCAGTCTATGCCTTGATCTGGAGTCTGGAGCCGCGAGGGAGTCAAACTTGGCACATCCCATAGCGTGGCTTCAGCCCTTGAGCCAGAACTATCAGTTGGCCAAACAGGTACAAAAATGCCAGTTTCTTCCATTTCATTATTTTGACAACCGCCTGATTTCACAAGTTCACATATTTATTTTTGCAGCAAAACATGGTGCTGCACCAAGAGAACCAGCAATTCATTTAGAACAATCTACTGTTTTATGCAGGATGCCGTAAGGTTACTGTGTTAAAAAAGTATGGTTGTGGTCAAAGAAAAGAAGAGGCAGCATGGATATTCTCTTTCTAGTCTAGTAACATGTACTTAAGAGATCACCCCAAGTGAAAACATTTGCCTGTCTAAACGAAAAATACCACAAAATGCTGCCCACCTTTCTCAAATATCCAGAAGAATCATAATCAGCAGACTTTTCATCCATTTCATCAACAGTCAGAGTCAGAGTCCCTTGAATCTTTTTCGAAAGAGTCTTAACGAAATCATTCTCTGTGATAGTGGAACCAATTTTCCTTCCTGGAAAGGAGAATACTTTTTTTAAGCAAAGCATTTTGAACAAAGGAAAGTAATGTGTTTTTTCTGGACAAAAATAAGATATATAAACTTTGAGCAAATCATCAATTTTCAGCTCAGGATACAGAAAAGAACTTAAATAAAATAAAAACCTCTGTAAAATGTAAGCAATGTCATCCAACAAGTAAATCTCAGCTGTAGCTGAAGATACAAAGGGAAACCTATCTCGTATTTATAACAGGATAACCTTGATGTACTATCAAGGTTCTACCATACCAAGGAAGCCTGACTTTTGATTTGGTTAAAGGAATCATACATGAGCTAACAACTACTCATCTAGTTGATGTATGAAAAACAGCTCCATGGTATGGGAGACAAAACAAAACAATTGGAAACCCCCAAACCAAATATCTCGCATAATATATATATCGACTGCTTACTGTAAAAGTCTGCCATAAAAGCCCTTTCGAAAAGTGATCTATGACGGAGTCTTACACTGAGCAGTCGCTATGAATATATCAAGATGCTTTCTCTTATATTACATTAGTATGTGGATGTACTGGAAGCTTCATATGGCTCTATATATATTGGACTCACCAGCAGCAAGAAGGAGTTTACGTTCCTTCTCATGTCCTGCAGTTAATTTATTTATGGCCTCAACATACTCCTCCTTTGACAAAGCTCCTTTGTGAGCAGAATTCAGCTTTGAGAACAAAGACTTTGCTGCAAAACGAACTTTTTTCTCAGGAGCTGAGGTGTTGAGGCACCACTTGACTTCATTTTTGTTGACGTCTGTTATTCCTGCAGTAACAAATATAACACAAAAAACGTTTAGTATTTAGTTCTGGTCATTATGATGACAAGCCATGATTAATGAAGTACAAGAAAAATTAGAGACAAAAAGGTAAATTTACTAACATATTAACACAAGATTGCAACATAATACTGACAGAGCTCAAAAGATAACAGACTTGTAGCCCTCTTCATAAAACACAGATTTGAATGTTAGAACATATTAAAAAAAAACACTCAAAAGAATAAGAGCCTCTTGAACTAAGATTTTCTGCATGATCAATAACTTTTATATTACCAACTATCTTTGTTTCTGGCACCACACAGTCAAACATGAACAGAAACAGGACTAATTAGCTGTACAATGTCAGTACACAATATAAATTGCTCCCCTGTGTTGCCTTCCAAAAATATGGTGTGAACCCATCCTCCACGGCTGTTAAAAAAAACTCACATTTGTTAGAGGATTTAAAAGCTATAATTCTCCTTCTTCGATAATATAAAAGGAGACCTTTCGCAGATACTGATAGGTTCATTGAACTTCACAAACCAGCTGACCAGTCAATCTTTATGTGATGCCTAAAAGGTGAGGATAAAACTAAAATCATATGTTATTCTGAACAACAGAGTGGGCTATGGTTTGGTAGCGTAAAAAAAAGAAGAAAAGCCAAAACGAATTATAAACAGATTATTGCGTTCAAGAAGCAAATACTTTTTAAAAAATCACTACTTCTTACCTAACTCTGTCTGAGCACAGTGCCTCAGTTTCTCAGTAGCTTCTTCATTCCCTTGTCTAGACGCAGATATCAGCCACTTAACCGCAGATGCAGCATTATCCTCTTTCTCAATGTCAACTTCTGCAAGCTTCAGGTAATGAGATCCAAGCTGAAGTTGGTGCTTCTCAGAGCCATCCTCGGCTTCTTTGATCCAGGACTGGAGGACTTCTGCAATTAAAAGTGGAAGTAATTTAATAAATATAATACTTTCCAGGGAATGCATGGATAAATATATAGGTCCATTTTTCAAAGTAGGCTCTTGGATTTCACTTTGAGCAACCTATTATAAAGATGATAATGCTGGAGGCCACTCATGGTACAGAAATTGGAATGTGAGAATTCAAAATGGAAGTAATGCTTCATTTAGTAATATTCAGAGACTTGTCTTCAGATAATATCAATGAAAACAATCATGACCATGCATTGCATTCATGAAAACATATGATAAGACTTACGACCAAAATTCATTAAAAACTTCTCACTGTCTTTCCAAAAAACATGTTCACATGTCTCCATAAAAGTTTTATCATTCAATAAGAAAAAAAAAAGAAACCTTAACTTGTCTTTGTGAATGAAAATCTTTATGCCAGAGCTAGTACCTTGAATCAAAATAGGCAACCTAAAATAGATGGTGCCTAACTTTGATAAACTCTCTTTTCCTCAGCTCCGTCTATCTGAGACCATCAACAGTTTCATATTATCTGGTGCTATCCTCAGAACTCCACATGTTCATGATGTCTTCTCCATGTTCACTCTAAAACCATATGACTTTCACAAGTTTCTGGCCCAAGCCATTTAAGCTATTTATTAGGAAGCATGACCGGGACTTGACCTCAGTCAAAGGTCAGGTTGGCCAGCAATCAAGAGATCCAGAGGGAATTATTCATGTTGTACAAGGGGGAACACATCTTGCCAATTAGGATCAGGATAGACTAGAAACAAAGGGAAAGTAATATTTCAACAATTCATTTCAGGTTCTAAAAAGGCGGTTCATCGAGAAGAAAATCTTCCTTGAGGAATCATGTTGAACATAAAAATGGAAAGGAATGCACAAGCACAGACACAAAAGTGAATTATGTGACTGGCCATAAATATACCCTCAGAGTTAGAGTAAATTAATAGCTAAAAACTGAATAACATTGATGAATCATGTGAGTCTGGTATTGATTTGCACAGAGTCTGGGTATGGACAGAGAGATTACATATTGATCAATCAAAGGGCAGCAAATAAACAGTACAGCTGTGCCCATTCAACTTTACTATTTGACGTTCATGATTTTTGCACTATTCACAGCTATTCGAAGTGTGGCAGAGCCACTCGAAAGCCGTGAGATTTTTTTTTTTAACAGATAAATCTAATGAATTTTCATCTTATTTTTTTCAAACGTAGAAAAATTAGAGTACATTAAATCTAAAATCATTAAGATAAATATGCAGAAATGCTCTTTATTTGATGGTTACCAGACAGAGTGATATAGAACCTACAAGAGTTATAAAACAATCCCTTAAAGAGTATCTCGTACTATTCAATATTCACTCGTCACACTTGACTCTTGAAGTGCAGCGAATGTTTTTTCCATGAAGTTAGCTGTCGCAATGAGCTCCCCTAACCCTACTCGAAATTCAAAGCGCTAAGAACGGTGACAAGATGTCAACACATTGCACTGTCTGCGCGCACGCGACAACAACACACACGCACTCAGTGACTGGCGTTAAACAGCGCAAGTCAGATCTGGATATCACAATATAAAAAATAAAAAACTCGACGGTGCTTCCATTTGCGAAAGTAATTAGAACTGGGCTTTTGTCTTATAAATAAGAAAAAACTAATTGACGTCGCTGTGAATACTGGAAGTTAGATCTGGGCTTCTCACATAAAAGAAAATACGATTCAACGGCGCTCTGAATTGCGGAAGTTGGATCTGGGCTTATCACATATAAGAAAATACGATTCGACATCGCTTCGAATTGCGGAAGTTAGGTTTGGGATTATCACATATAAGACCACAGTCTGCTGCGATCTAGGCGGTTCTATCATAACCTCTTGATTGGTCACAGTTGATTTAATGACAGCGCTAGGGCTTGATTACATCAAAGGCAGAGGCATAGCTGCAGCACAATTCAAGTGTGTGGGTGGGCGGACTGCCTCATGTTGCAGTACAATTACATCAAAGAATTTTGCCATTAAAGATCATATGATTGAAAAGTAAGTTGCAATAGCAAGTGACCAGATGAGATTATTTTCAGGAAATCAGGGAGACCAGCCCCTCCGCGTGTATATAAGCGCACAGGGAAAATTTAAACTGATCCTTGTCACAAGTCCAAAGCCTGTACTATATTTGTAACTGTACGAAGTGAGTATTTCTCCAAACGCTCAGGAAAATAAACTTGACCTCTATTTCTCTGAACGGTTTCCATTCTCGAGATTTTTTTTTTATTTGCGAGAGTTCGGCGTCATCTTTAATCCTGCCATTCTGCGAGGACTGGGAAGAAACATTTTTTGCATCAAATTCCATTTCTAGAGCTAGAGATATGTGTATGAATATTCAGATACTTCAATTGTGGTCGGGCAACGTTCTCAGACTATACTTCATTTGAAAATGCCTTCAAAAGGTACAGCGAGAAAACAAGACTGCTCGACTTTGACAGTAACCTATTTTGCAATAAGACAGCCCTAAAGCAAAATCTAAATCATAAAATCATCCCTCCACGCCCCCAAGCCCTCCTCCCATTCACACCTTACACACACAAGCACACGTACACACGCACAAGTACACGCACACAAGCACACGTACACACGCACAAGCACACATACACGCACACAAGCACACGTACAAGCACACACACAAGCACACGTACAGGCACACACACACGCACACGCGGGCCACTCCATTCGCAAATAACCAAAACATCTCGAGAACGGAAACCGTTGGGAGAAATATAGTTCAAGTTTATTTTCCCGAGCGTTCAGAGAAATAGAGCTGGCCATAACTCATAACTGTAGACCTATACTAAACTAAAACAGCCGAAAGCAAAAATGTACCAAACTAAGAGCAGGAATCAAAGTGTTACATTGAAAGCCTATTCTAGGACTTCCAAAACTCTTGCCTCAAAATAACTTCTAGACAAGTCACAATGTACTCCAGATGAAACACATAGTTAAACAAAGGGGGCTTGGTATGCTCTAGCAGCGGACTTAAACCTAAGCCTTGCCTTATTTTTATGAAGTGACTATTTCTCAGAACGCTTGGAAAAATAAACTTAGAGCTCTATTTCTCCCAACGGTTTCCGTTCTTGAGATTTTTTGGTTATAATTTACGAGATTTAGGCGCCATGATCTTTCATTCTGCGAGGACTGAGAAGTTCAAGCTTTTTTTTTGCATCGATTTCAATTTCTAGAGCTAGTTTTAGAGATACAGATTTTTAAATCTCTGAATATTCAGATACATGTACTTCAATTGTGGTTGGGACGTTCCTGGACTATACTTCATTTGAAAATTACTTCAAAAGGCACTGCCAGAAAACTGCTTGACTTTGGCAGTAACCTATAAATTGCATTTAGCCACCCCTAATCCACAAAATCCTTCATGTCCTAAACATAAAAAATCCCTCCACGTCTCAACACCCCATTCCCCGCTCCCTC